TGAAATGATGTAGGCCTATATTACACGTATACCCAAGAAGTGCTGGATAAAAAAAAGGTATAAAATGGCTATTGTGTAGAATGAATTACTTTGGTAACAAGAACAGTGGAAGGACTGAATCAAATCACAATCTTGGTCTCCAACACATGTGGCTACTATGTACAGGCTTGCCTCTTGTGGGGTAGGGCATCCACACTCTGTATCAGCAGTCTGGGTTAATACAGTGCGGTTAACCACACAGGTATAAACACACAGGTATCACTGTGGTTAACCACAGGTATCAGTGTAGTTAAATACAGGTATCAGTGGAGTTAACCACATATACCACTGTGGGTAAGCACTGGTATCAGTGCAGTTAAACACAGGTGTAATAGCAGTTAGCCACTGGTATACTGGGTTAACCACAGGTATCAATGTGTCCAATTTGCAAAAGATTTATGCAATGAGCACGCCAAAAGATTTAATTACAACAAACCATAACAATTATTTGAGATCATCTCTGCCATTTATAGTGTCTTCAAACTAATTGATATCAATTTATTAAATCTTCACATCAAGCTAAACACATCCATTTATAGTCTCTTCACATCAAGCTAAACACATCCATTTATAGTGTCTTCACATCAAGCTAAACACATCCATTTATAGTCTCTTCAAATAAAGCTAAACACATCTATTTATAGTGTCTTCACATCAAGCTAATCACATCTATGTATAGTGTCTTCACATCAAGCTAAACACATCAACTTTACTAATTGTTTATTTACTACAAATTTTTTTTTTTTTAAAAATGGCAGCAAGAAAAGAAACCACATCACATATGTTCTAAAATATTGGCTGGAAATTAAAGCAAGATTGTCATTCTAGGTGTACACAGTACTCAATACAACAAAATAAATAGGATATGAAAAAGATAGACAACATTCTAATCTATGCATTAGATGGTAGAGTTCAGAACAGTATGAAGGTCAACCTGTGAATAATTAAAGTGTGCAGATTTTTGTGAAGTGTTAGTAAATACTGTCATTTCATTCAGTGCATTTAGCACTTATGTGATCTACAAAAATATCACTCCAATAAATAGTTTAACAAGAGAAATTGCCACGATGTCATGAAAAAACTAGTCTATAAAAAGGCTAACTCTACACTCAATTAAAAATATTTGAAACATTAGCACTTATTAAGAACAAGTTTATAAATTCTTGAAATATGGAGACAGAAAAATATGTTCTTGAAATATTAATACAGAAAGTGTTCATTTATTCTTCAAACATTTAGACAGAACTTGTTCATTAATTTCTTGAAACATTAAGAAAGAACACGTTCATAAATTATTGAAAATTAGACAGAATTTGTTCATAAATTCTTGAAACATTAAGACATAACATGTAGGCCCTATGAAAGTTCAAGATACATATAAATAGATGCTAACACAACCATGATACAGTACTGAATGCAGTAACATGACAACGTGAAACTCACTTCTAATGGACTTGAAATAATTGTAACAAATATGGTTTCATATTCATACAATTCTTTGATAAAGAAAACAATGACCTGCATAATTTTGGTGTGAAACACTCTTCAACAACTTGGTTATAAAAAATGTAAAACAAACAACAAATTCTGTTTGAGAGGTTTGTGCTGGGAATACTGAGAAATGTCAAACACATGTGAACATTAAACTTATACAGTATTCAAATATACATCAAACTGTAGGGGACTTACAATAATATCAAAGGTGAAGTGTATGTTTATTTTGTAGTAAGTTCAATATTGTGTTTGATGTTACAGTTTTGTAAAAAATGTATGCAAGAACAGAGACATGTGAGATCAATGGTGTATGTAAACTTGTTGCAACTTGTTAATTTGTTAAAAGTTGTGTGATCTGTATTAATAAACATATCATGTAATTAATGAAGGGCAAGATTTTATTTTAATTCTAGTTACAGCTACACTAAAGCTATTGGCAGGACTGTAAAAATAAACTAGCAGTCTGAAATCTGTTTACCATGCATTATTTTACAAATATTTAGCTACCATAATTATATAAGATATACAGTGTTCAGAAATGAAAAAAGATCGAACCTAAAGCCTGTACTCTTAAAGTTTGTTTTTTATGAAAATAAATACCCAGCTGTGTACATTTTCAACATGCTCAAGTTCTAGCTCAAGTTCTAGTGAAAGAATATTTAACATACAACACACCAAAGTAATAACCTGAGCTTCAATGTGACATGTCTAAAACAGGAGAAATTTTAGAAGGGAAACAATTCAAGAGTTCACAAGAAACCAAAAGGTAAGAAAGGGAGAGAACTTTAAAAATAAGTTACTTTAAAATTGTTTTATTAGAGGAAACATGCAAGTACATTTTTATTTATTGACAACCAGGAAATGTAAAAAGAAAATTTGATTTAGAAAATATGTGCAGTTGAAAAGCTTTGAATGATATAGATCTAACAACTTTTACAAACTCTCAACTTATTCACAGAATTACAAATCAAATAAAAACACTTGGATTAAAGTCATAAAGATTACAAGTGATTCACATTGTTAAAATATTTTTCACACAATGAAGAATGAGAAAGTTCTGGTTGACTTGGTCAGTGCAGATGGGAAAACATTGTCTTTTTTAGGGTACCATGTTTAGACTAATGGAACGGATTTATTGGTCACTTACATATTCAAACTATTGGAACTTAGGAAATTATTTAATAGGTAGACTTATACATTCAAATGTGTAACATTTCAGATATTTTCTAGACAAAATAATTATCACGGCATCACATATTGTATCAAAATTTTGTTATTACTATTTTTTTAGGAAAAAATTATTACATCAGATATTTTACTATGAACATATGTCGATACAAACCAAATTTTTTTGACAAATAATTATGATCACATTGGATATTTAATTACAAAAACATGCAGCTATTAACCAATTGTTTTTTAAGAATATCTATCATGTATTTCACTAACGAATTGGTTGTTTCCTATCAATTTATTACTGAATAATTAAACATTTTTAAATGTGTCGCCTTCAATGGAATGAAAAGATTTGGAATGAATTTTTTTTTTTAAATTGATATTTGTACAACCAAAGACATGAAAGAAAAAGTTTTTAAAAAAAAATGTTGAATTTAAAAAAAAAAAAAAATATAACAACCCACTCAATGGTAGAAACAGATCAAACTCACAATTTCACTCTTATCAGTCACTTCCTTTATTTTCTCAAACCAAAATTTGTGAAATACAGCACTGAAAATTAGACAGAATAGGAACTGTACCACTGGCTGGGTACTAGCTAGTATACCAAGTACTGTAACAAATTAGCCCAGACAAGTTAATTGACAAGCTTGTCGCATTCAGCTCATTAAATGTTGGTGGGCGGGGCTACCCAGCTCCATCTTGGATGTAGTTCCCATACAAAGACATTTCAAGATAAGTAGAGCTTACAGCAGCAACCACATGTAAGTTGATTGGGTTTTTTTTTTGAGTAACAGCTAACATATGCCTAGGTATAGATGTAAGTTTTTTAGGTATAGTTATCTAACATATGCCTAGGTATAGATGTAATATAAGCCTTGGTATAGCTGTTAGTTGTTTGGTTTTTTAAAAATAAGATATAGTTGTCTAACATATGCCCAATATAGCAGAGCTACTTGAGAGCTGACCTTAAACCTAATGTTAGCTTAATTATGTTAATTTACAATGTCACGAGTAACAGCAACCCAGAGACACAATGACAAATGGCACATAATCCAAGAGAAAGACATCTGACAGCTGACATTAGGGACTATACACAATGACAAATGGCACATAATCCAAGAGAAAGACATCTGACATTAGGGACTATACACAATGACAAATGGCACATAATCCAAGAGAAAGACATCTGACATTAGGGACTATACACAATGACAAATGGCACATAATCCAAGAGAAAGACATCTGACATTAGGGACTATACACAATGACAAATGGCACATAATCCAAGAGAAAGACATCTGACATTAGGGACTATACACATTGTTACCTGAGTTTAAGTCATACAACCAAAACTGGTGTGATTTATTGTACTTAGTGTTGTGTTACAACCAAAACATATACTTATTGATGTAACTCATGTTCATATTGATGAAATCATGTACTGATTGATGTAAATATGTACTGATTGATCTAAATCATGCACTGATTGATGTAAATATGTACTGATTGATGTAAATATGTACTGATTGATGTAAATATGCACTGATTGCTCAGAGTTCTTGAAACAATCAAGATGAAGGCACCATCTGCCCTAAAAGCAAACTAACAGACTCTCTACTGTCACAATGCCCTGAGAGGCTTGCTGTCCTGACAAACTCTCTGCCCTGACAATACACTGACAGGCTCTCTGCCCTAAAAACTTAGTGACAGGCTCTCTGCCCTAAAAACTTAGTGACAGGATCTCTGCCCTGACAATACACTGACAGGCTCTCTGCCCTAAAAACTTAGTGACAGGCTCTCTGCCCTAAAAACTTAGTGACAGGCTCTCTGCCCTAAAAACTTAGTGACAGGATCTCTGCCCTGACAATACACTGACAGGCTCTCTGCCCTAAAAACTTAGTGACAGGATCTCTGCCCTGACAATACACTGACAGGCTCTCTGCCCTAAAAACTTAGTGACAGGCTCTCTGCCCTAAAAACTTAGTGACAGGCTCTCTGCCCTAAAAACTTAGTGACAGGCTCTCTGCCCTAAAAACTTAGTGACAGGATCTCTGCCCTGACAATACACTGACAGGCTCTCTGCCCTAAAAACTTAGTGACAGGCTCTCTGCCCTGACAATACACTGACAGGCTCTCTGCCCTAAAAACTTAGTGACAGGCTCTCTGCTCTGCCCTGACAATACACTGACAGGCTCTCTGCCCTAAAAACTTAGTGACAGGCTCTCTGCCCTGATAAGAAAAGAGAACAAATACCTTGACATTACAAAAAAAGTTCTAAAATATTGACATTTGATTGTAAAATTTTAATGTTTAATCTCCAACAACTGGACGCATGTAGACTTCTAGCTCTTTGCTACACATTTGATCATCCACTCACAGTCAAATTTAAACACATTGCTGTCTGTCATTAAAAAGATTACTTGCCTTCATTAATTGGGAAAAAACTTTTTTCTGTGCTTTACTTTAAAAGGTATCAAAGAAACGGTTTTAAAAATGGTAACAAATATATATAAAAACCCAATAAAATTGAAGTACATAAAGTTACATCAAAGGGAGAGAATAAATAAAAACTTTGGCAGTGACCCTCACATGGAGGTGTCCAGCGCGGACATGTCAAATGTTGATTCTGTTTGGTTCATCAGAGGAACCCGTTCAGCGTCTTTGTTGTTGGTATAGTTTGTCTGACCTGTGGCGGAAAAATTGCTGTTGGGCTGTTCGGCTTCGGCTGGCTTCATCACAATCAATGGCACCTTGTCCTGAGTTTCTGGCACACCGCTGCTCAACACATGGCCATCAGGCAGGAAGGTTTTCACGTCTCTAAGGTCAATGCCGTCCCCTTCTACGTGAAAGTCTGGAGAAGTCGGCGACTTGTTTTCCAGACTTTTTTCAAGAGACTCCTTCAAGAAATGAGGCTTACGGTTGTTGGTGTTAGGAGTCCTTTTACCAGCCAGGGGACTGGTAGGAATGGACAGGCCATCAGATGATTTCATGTGGCCGATAGCTCTTGCTCCAAAGTTTTCAGCAATGCCAGCGCAAGGATCTTTAGCGTCAGATCCAGTGCGCCTCATGCGATACAAATACTCATGAGGGTCATTTCTAGGAGGGAAAAAAGTCACCCTATCAAGGGACGAGGTCGAGTGTTTTTTTGTTGTTTCGTCAAATTTGATACATTCAAGTGCTGACATGGTGAATAAAGGGGACAAGCCTTCCAGTCCACTGTTGCGATTGGTGTTCAACTTGCTGACCTTTTCAAACTCAGCATCAAAGGCTTCATTTATTGCAATGTTGCCAGAATTTCGCAGCATTTTGGTGGTGCGGAGTGCAGCCAAGTATAGGGTTCGGTTAATGCACAAATACTGCACATCAGTGAGTGCACGTACAGAAAAATCTGGTACGTAATCTTTAATCTTTAACTCATTCATCGAAGCATGTTTGCGCACCACTGAAATTCAAGACAGCAAATTAGAAAAATAAAATGACAAGATTGAATTAAAATCAGGCTGGAAAGTAAATGCACCAAAAAGAAGGAAGTAATAGCTTACAATTGATTGCTTCCTTTCCAAAATAACTGAATGGACCAGACTCAAAGACCATTCCCTCTTCTCCTGCAATAACCTCAACAGTTCCTAAACAAAATTATCAGAAATGTCAACAACATAGACTGAACACAGAAATTTTTAAAAAGCCAAAAGCTAATAAAGAAATGTTTCCAATAATTTAGTCTGTCTATGAAGACGTATGTGTACACTTACATAACAGATAACCATGTACAAATAAAATGCTATACATAAATTTTCAAGTTCAGACCTTGAGACCTTATTTGTGTTTATGGGATTAACTGCTATAAAAAGACAGAGTAAGCTGCTTGTAACAAATATACATTTTTGGTTCCATTTTTTAATTGTTTAAAAATTTCAAAATCTTATTCCATTCATTTAATTAAAAGCGTTTGTTTATCATCAATGTCATGGGACCAAGCTTGCAAAAAAAAAAAAAGAAAAAAAAAAAATTAATATTTCAGACCTGCGTAGTAACTTTACATTGGACTAAAATTACATACAAAAAACATTCTTAATTTGAAAAGAAATTTTATTTTTCCAAACACAGTTTTCCTAGACCACCTTAGCGATTGTTATTTAGAAAAAAAATATGAACGTAAAATCCTTTCATTTTCTCAGAAATATTTACTTCTTAACTTGGGTCTGCAATTAGAATATGTTTGGGCTAAGTTGGTTTATTAGATATAGTAACCATATCCATGTTTTTTTAATTCCCTTATGAGGGTATGCATGGGGAAAAAATCTTGATTTTTCATCATAATGGGTTTCTTGCACTTTTGGATAATTTGTCCATTTTTGTATTAAGAAAATAATAACAAAAAAATAATAATAAAAAAAATTGAATGTGGTAAAATACAACTTTTACGACCCCGTTAATTACATAATAATCTTTTTACATGCTCTCTAAAAAAAAAAGTTCAATATCTATCATCTTTTGTATTTGGCAGTGTTGGAAAGCTGGATGTATTTTACTCATATTTTCTGTCACCCAGCACTTACAATTACCTTTACAAATTACTCAGATTTACTCAAATTACTCTACAAATTGTAGAATTCTGACCAGTTGCTCTATCAAAAAGTTGTTGTGATAAAAGTTTTAATATATACTGAAATATAAGCACTGTAAATTTGATTGCTATAAGTGCATAAAGCGTTTTTAAAAGTACCAAAACATTCAAAATGTTTTTTTTTTGGGTTTCCAATGACAACCGAAATTATTTTCAAACCACTAGAAGCAGTCTAAAGGCTTTATATATTAAATTTTTTTTACATGGAAAAAAAACGCACATATCCCCTTAAAGAAGCTACTGCAGGTAAAATAAAACATTCTAGATCATATGACAGACAACTGAGGAGAACCCATACATCAAAACTATGTGAATAAAAATATCTTTTTAGTTCCCTATTTGAACTTGACAGTCCATGGGGCAAGTAGGGTTCACCGGTTTCTGTGAACCCATACATCAAAACTATGTGAATAAAAATATCTTTTTAGTTTAAGTTCCCTATTTGAACTTGACAGTCCATGGGGCAAGTAGGGTTCACCGGTTTCTGTGAACCCATACATCAAAACTATGTGAATAAAAATATCTTTCTAGTTTAATTAAGTTCCCTATTTGAACTTGACAGTCCATGGGGCAAGTAGTGTTCACCAGTTTCTGTGACCTCGGCATATGAAGGGATAGTGTGGTCAGCACTATGCTCCTAACGTGCGTTAGGTATCCATCAGGGCTGGGTGGGCACTATTTAGTAGCAGATAATTATTACAAGATTTCATGCTGCTTGTTAACCCTTTTCATGGTGCTTCTTAACCCTTTTATCAGCTATTACCATTAAAATAGTATCAACATCCCTGAGTCTAAGGATATATTAAAATGAGTCTAGGACTGGATTAAAATAGCTTCTACAAGATTGAGTTCATGGTTTGAGCAGGTACATACCTTGCAGAATAAGAACAAACTTATCTGTTGCGACTCCCTTTTGGTAGATGTAGTTTTTTTGTGAAACTGGGTCTGTGGGACTGAGATTGACGACAATGTCCTTCTTCATCAGGTTCATGAGAACATTCCTCGCCAGGTAAGCATCAGAGAAAGGTTCCACAGCTGGGGATCAACATTGATAAAATCACTCAGGACAATAGTTTCTCCGTCAAAGCTAGGTCTAATTAGGTTCAGTACATCTTTTAATTTGAAACTCACATTCAAAATGTTTGCCTATGCACTAATGCAGTGGTTCTTAACCTGGGTTTGATTGAACCCTAGGGGTTCAGTGAGTCAAGTTTCTGGCGTTTGGTGGGTGTCAAGACACATATGCTTCGCTGTCTGATTTTATCAGTGCAGACTGTTGAACTAGTGGCCGTGGCTGACGACAGTTCAAATACGACAGCGTGACATAGTAATAAAGTGTGCCAGAGTGAGATAGCATATATATCAGTATTGTTTTATTTCTATATCATTAAAGGCAACAGCAGAACTAGCACTGATTTGCAGTATACATTCATTATCACAGGGTTTTTTTAAAATATCATATTTTAAAGGTTATGTTCTTTGAACACAATGATTTTAATGCATGGTTTATTTTGTGCACCAGTACAATATATACCTATTTTTTTAATCTGATAAAAATAATATTTGATTCTTCCTATTGAGTAGGGTTTGGTGAACGAGCTTTTGAAGCTAGTGGGTTTCTGTACCTCCAAAAACAAAAAGGTTAAGAACCAGTGTACTAATGACTTAGCCCTATGTTGCAGAAACTATTTTCTTGGCCTTGACCAAAATATCAATACAATGTGCAAACTGTAACATAACTGCTCTAAAAACTATGGAGTTTTCCATGGAATCACTCAATGGATGAGTCTCCTGTTAATTATTTCTAGACAATACTTTACAAACTACTACAATGAAAACTACCATAAGCCATATAGGGTTAAGTTAAACCAAAACATAGCTTAGCAACATACTTTAAAAAATAATGGAGAGGGATGCATGAAAATACTTTAAGTTTTTAACTTACTTGTAGTCAAAAACTGGAATGCTACAAAAGCTAGCTGTTTTGGTAATTTTGACCTGTCAACTTCAGCACCAAATATTTCATAATCATGTCTCTTGTTCCTTGGTGCCTTCTGTCTGTTGTCAGCTAGGTACACAATGAAATTGACATCAAGCTACAGTATCCAATCAAATTTATATATTATTACCACATAAATAACCTATATTTTGTCTTATGGGGTCTGTTAACTAGAATGACATGGTGGGATAGTAGACCTATTAACTTCTAACTCAAATGTCTCAAGTTTAGATCCCAACAAATGTTGAAGTTTCCTGCACAAACATGTAAAGCAAATTTTAAGAGAGAAACAAGAAATTGGGCTAAAGTATTTTTGTTATCTTTCCTGTCGACTGATATTTTGTGCATTGAATAGCTAGCACAGGCCCTTTTGTATACTACTGTAATGTTATTTCCATGTTATGAAGATGTTACTTACATACAAGATCTTTTTCATCAATAATCTCACGCTGTAGAATTTCTTCAATAACATCTTCTAGAGTCACTACCCCCATGGTTTCATAATAAGGGTCATGGTCCTCATTGTTGTGCAACTTCTGAACAATAGCCATATGAGAGTCACCTATTTCATTCAGAAAAAGTTTTAATCACTTTTTACAAAAACATTTCTTACACAGCATTTTTCAAGGATTGTGCAACTCATTATAGATTTTAAAAAATTAACATTTATCTTTAAAATAAAGAATCTACAAACAATTTAAAAATATGTTTTAAATTCATTTAACAAAACCGAGATGCATTGACAAAAACTTAAAAATAACACTCTTTTTTTAAATGAGAAAAAAAGCACATTAGTACATTCATTATGTACAGTACAAATAGGAAAATAAGTTTCTAATAAAAGTAAAAATTCCAACAGTAAATAATATTTTTAAATGTAATATTAAAGATAAGTGATAGAATAAAGGCTAAGATTATTAAGTAGACAGAGCTTCTTTAGATAAAAATATGAACAAAATAAGAATAGGAGATGTATGTACAAAATGAAACATGTTGAATGATGATGCAACCACACCCTTACAAAGAGTATGTCACAGTCAAATTAAAAATGGTTTATACTAATGGAATCTACATTGAAAAAAGAATTCAGTATACTATGGGAAAATAATTTAAATTCATACACACCTTGCAAAAATTCTTGCAACATTGCATCAAGTTTCACATCTTGGTCAACATACAGTGGCTTATGATCATAAAATTTGCACACTGTGCTAAGTGGTGTCTTATCATCTGGATCAATCAAAGCAAGGTCTTTAGTATTAAGTAGATTGATAATGTTAGTCTTCTCACCATCATAAACAGGAACTCTAGTATAACCATGATGCATTATTTCTGTCATTGTGTCAAAATCTAATATTCTGTTTACTTCAAGCATATAAACATCTTCAACTTTAGTCATTATATCCTCAACACTCTTATTAGTCAATTGTAATGCACCAGAAATTATATTAGCCTCATCATCGCGAAGCACACGTCGATCGGCAGTCATTCGTATTAATTCTTGTAACTTTTCTTTGTTGTAAACTTGTCCCATTTCTTCTCCCAGAATTTTATCCAGTACTAACGATATGGGAAATGATGCAGGAAAAGTAAGAATAATGAAAAGAACTGTAAGCCAGTAAGTATTAGCACCAACGGCTAATCCATGACGTGAACAAATAGCCTGAGGTATTATTTCACCAAAAATCACAATACCAATGGTGGAACTCACTACAGCAATAATTCCATTTGTCATATTATCAAATAAGATTGTAAATGTGCTATTTACCATCACATTACCAAGCAACAGGGTACAAAGTAGTAGGTTGCCGCGTTTTCTCAGTGGACCAATGCGCTTAGCCCACTGCTTTTCATTGTCCGATCCAACTTTACCAATTATTTTAAGTTCTGTTTGGTCTAGAGACATCAATCCTAAATTTAAACCACTAAAAAGTCCTGATAATACTAGTAGCACACAGCAAATTGATATCTGCAACCAAAATGGCATAAAATACTTATTTTCTTCTTTTTCTGTGAAAGTTTTTATGGTTAACCATTCCTCTGCTCCTTGGTGTATATATTGATCGGAGGTATGTTCCTTTAAGCAAATGTACTGGAGTCTATCCAGAAGATCGAGTTCTATCTCAACTCTAGCAGACGTGCTACTATTAACTGGATCTGAAACAAATGTCTGTGTTCTTCTAACATTTTTACAACTAGCGTTGTTTTGCGTTAAAAATATCTCACAACGGTCGCGGAGGTCAGTACCCACTAATATTATCTCAACTGGAATGTGAGCTTTCACATTTAATCTTCCATTTGGTTGTGTGTGAGCATTGGTATCTGCAGCATAGAGTCCAAGTAAACGTTGTGCAATACAAATAGAGGGGAACATTTGGAATACAAAATACACTAAAAACAGAAGTCGAAATGAACGAATACAAAATCCAGCCGTCGCCATGTTTATGTTGTGCTTGACATCCGGAAACAAAAAGTTAAGCAGGTGTAAGGCAAGAAAGTTCATGGCGAAAAATTTATCCTGGCCTACGTAATTCTAGATAACAGATATGACATAATTTAATAAATTAGTAGTGTGAAGAAACAGCAAAAAAAAAGTGAAATTCTTACACCAATAATGCAAAAATAATAGCTATTTAGTCCATATATATATATATATATATATATATATATATATATATATATATATATATATATATATATATATATATATATATATATATATATATATATATATATAGGCCCTATATATATATATATATATATATATATATATATATATATATATATATATATATATATATATATATATAGGCCTATATAAGCTATACATGTATATATATAGGCCTATATATACATATATATATATATATATGTATATGTGTGTGTGTGTGTGTGTGTGTGTGTGTGTGTGTGTGTGTGTGTGTGTGTGTGTGTGTGTGTGTGTGTGTGTGTGTGTGTAGTCTAAGTTTGCTAGATTGTTCTGCATCGATAAGATCCTAGAGATGATTGATGGGCAACAACTGACAATAAAATTTTCATGAGAAAAAGACCACATTCTCTAGTTTTGACGAAGACAAAATGCCTATACCGATGAGTAAATAACACACTTTTTTCATATTTCTTGATTTTTTAAAATTACATAGCAATTTTGAACTCTTTACTTTGTTAAATAAGACAAAAGGAAAAGAGGTTGACCAAGGAAGACCTTTAGACGTGACCTGGAAGAAGACACCAAGAAGATTGGATGACTCCCATTAGCTAAATACTAAATAGAAAAGCTTGGTCAGTTCTTGGGTAGCTATATTTTATGTATTGAATACCTTTACTAGAATTTGACAAGGGACCATCATTTTTATTTTTAGTTTATAATTTTATAAAAGCTTGTTATAAAAACGTTTTTACTTTAAAAATTTTAATACAATAGAATTGCATCACTAAAAACCATTGCGCACTAATGAACACGAAAAATGTGCGCATAATAGTGCGGTAAATAGTACTTTGTGTAGGAAATGTATTTAATCCTTTGAGAATGAATTAAGCATCAAGTTAAGTCAAATTTTATGTCGGATTGCTATTTGAGCTAATTTCGTATATTTTTAGAACTGCATACTCTTAAAACCAAACCCTTTGAAAAGAAATAAGTTTTTACCCAAATAACAATGACGTCAAAAACTACGCGCACACATAACTAAAACTTTTAACATCCGATTTATTTCCTTTTTTTGAAAAAACAATACAAAAACAACATCCCATATCCCTTTTAAAGTTTCCGGCATACAACAATAGGCGTATCAGCGATGGAACCACATGTGCGAAAACCCTGTCAATGCCAGTCGCTTCGTGCACCATGTGACTTAAAAGATAACGCCAGTAAAGAGACAAAGCCAAGCAAAGAACCCGCTAGTGAACCAAAACCAGCTGAGCCAGCACCTGAACCTGCGCCAGCACCTGCCGCTGAGCCAGCACCTGAACCTGCGCCAGCACCTGAACCTGAGCCAGCACCTGCCGCTGAGCCAGCACCTGAACCTGAGCCAGCACCTGCCGCTGAGCCAGCACCTGAACCTGAGCCAGCACCTGCCCCTGAGCCAGCAACTGAACCTGAGCCAGCACCTGCCCCTGAGCCAGCAACTGAACCTGAGCCAGCACCTGCCGCTGAGCCAGAACCTGCCACTGAGCCAGAACCTGCCGCTGAACCTGCCACTGAGCCAGAGCCTGCCACTGAGCCAGAACCTGCCGCTGAACCTGCCACTGAGCCAGAACCTGCCGTTGAAACTGCCCCTGAGCCAGAACCTGCCGCTGAACCTGCCACTGAGCCAGAACCTGCCACTGAGCAAGAACCAGAGTAAAGATAAACCAAAACCAATGATTCCGAATTAGTTGAAAATTCAACCGTATGTCACTCCCTTTGCCGTAAGTAATTTCATACCCTTAGTCACTTAGTGTAAAGTTTGTGCCTTATAGGTCTACTCATCATGCTTGACTAACTTCACACTATGTAATCGAGGTAACCCAAACTAATAACATTACTCTAAACTTGTCTTAGCCGCGCCTAAGTGAGACGCAAATGTCCACCCTATTCTATAAACAGAAAAAAAACAAGCAAGCCACCTTACTTAATTACTTAATCCTCATCACCCCCTCTGGAGTATAGGGCAGCAACAAATCTCCGCCATTCCACTCTGTCTTGGGCGAGCCACTTTAATTCATGCCAGGTCTTGCCAGTAGCCTGCACTTCTTCCATCTCTCTCCTCCATGTTCCGGGGACAAACTTTCAATTTGCACCCCAAACTTTCGATTTGCCCCCCCCCCCCCTCAAATTTTCGATTTGCACCTCCCCCCCCCCCCCTCAAACTTTCAATTTGGTTTACCAACCCATTTTGGCGCCCCCTACGGACAGCGCCCTAGGCGACCGCCTAGTTCGCCTTATAGGTAGCGCCGACCCTGGTACGAATGAACGGTGCTACAAACTCTAGGCCGTTGGGCTTAGTATTAACCGGATCATTGGTAGACCCGCTATACAACATGCATTAATATCCCTAGCTACCAGGGTTGGACTACTCATTTCTCTGGTAACTAGACATCGAAGGGGGCGTTTCCAAAATCTTTGGCATGGGCGCCGCTTAACAACGACACAGTTGTTTAGAATACGCTTCACGCATTTTGGAAATATGTGCTGTATATTTTTGATAAATGTTTGAAAATGAAAATTAAATGTATTAATTTAGATGATATTCTGTAAAAAAAAAATGTATATTGATCTACTTTTATCAGATTTTACGGTTTTGGCCTCATGTATGGGTGCCCATGTGTGTGTGAGGGGGTGCAACTATTGATGTCGTGTGTGGGTGTCCATGTGTGTGTGAGGGGGTGCAACTATTGATGTCGTGTGTGGATGTCCATGTATATAGACCTAATCTGTGGATGCCTAAGTGTGACTGTGTAGGGGAAACTATTGACCTCATGTGTGGGTGCCATGTGTGTGTGGGGAACTATTGACCTTATGTGTGGGTGCCCATGTGTGTGGGGAACTATTGACCTTATGTGTGGGTGCCCATGTGTGTGTGGATCTATTGACCTTATGTGTGGGTGCCCATGTGTGTGTGGATCTATTGACCTTATGTGTGGGTGCCCATGTGTGTGTGGATTTATTGACCTTATGTGTGGGTGCCCATGTGTGTGTGGATCTATTGACCTTATGTGTGGGTGCCCATGTGTGTGTGGATCTATTGACCTTATGTGTGGGTGCCCATGTGTGTGTGGATCTATTGACCTTATGTGTGGGTGCCCATGTGTGTGTGGATTTATTGACCTTATGTGTGGGTGCCCATGTGTGTGTGGATTTATTGACCTTATGTGTGGGTGCCCATGTGTGTGTGGATCTATTGACCTTATGTGTGGGTGCCCATGTGTGTGTGGATCTATTGACCTTATGTGTGGGTGCCCATGTGTGTGTGTGTGGATCGATTTATCTTATGTGTGGGTGCCCATGTGTGTGTGGATTTATTGACCTTATGTGTGGGTGCCCATGTGTGTGTGGATCTATTGACCTTATGTGTGGGTGCCCATGTGTGTGTGGATCTATTGACCTTATGTGTGGGTGCCCATGTGTGTGTGGATCTATTGACCTTATGTGTGGGTGCCAATTTGTGTGTGAACCTATTGGTCTTATGTGTGGGTGCCCTGTGTGTGTGGATCTATTGACCTAATGTGTGGGTGCCCATGTGTGTGTGGATCTATTGACCTTATGTGTGGGTGCCCATGTGTGTGTGGATGTATTGACCTTATGTGTGGGTGCCCATGTGTGTGTGGATCTATTGACCTTATGTGTGGGTGCCCATGTGTGTGTGGATCTATTGACCTTATGTGTGGGTGCCCATGTGTGTGTGGATCTATTGACCTTATGTGTGGGTGCCCATGTGTGTGTGGATCTATTGACCTTATGTGTGGGTGCCCATGTGTGTGTGTGGATCTATTGACCTTATGTGTGGGTGCCCATGTGTGTGTGGATCTATTGACATGTGTGGGTGCCAATGTGTGTGTGGACCTATTGACCTTATGTGTGTGTGTCCATGTGTGTGTGTGGATCTATTGACCTTATGTGTGGGTGCCAATTTGTGTGTGAACCTATTGGTCTTATGTGTGGGTGCCCTGTGTGTGTGGATCTATTGACCTTATGTGTGGGTGCCAATGTGTGTGTGGATCTATTGACCTTATGTGTGGGTGTCCATGTGTGTGGACCTATTGACCTTATGTGTGTGTGTCCATGTGTGTGTGTGGATCTATTGACCTTATGTGTGGGTGCCCATGTGTGTGTGGATCTATTGACCTTATGTGTGGGTGCCCATGTGTGTGTGTGGATCTATTGACCTTATGTGTGGGTGCCCATGTGTGTGTGTGGATCTATTGACCTTATGTGTGGGTGCCCATGTGTGTGTGGATCTATTGACCTTATGTGTGGGTGCCAATTTGTGTGTGGACCTATTGACCCCATATGTGGGTGCCCATTTGTGTTTGTGGATCTATTGACCTATTGAGTGGGCCCACATTATATGTATCTGTAGCACTATGTGAGCGACGTTTTTTTTAATATCAAACTATCTCATATCTGCAATGGAGCATTCAAGGCATTCGGATAAAGCAATCTTGCCAATCGAGTTCGATATGTTCGATATGTTAAAAGATATTGACCAAGTTAGTGATAATTTTGCAATTTAAAAATTCAGAAATGCTAACTTTTAATTCTAAAGTCAAATGTTCAAATTTCTAGTTTTTGTTGGGAACTATCGACCGAATGTGTGTTGGGGAATGCGACTTAGAAAGAACAAAGTAGATAAGCGTGTGTTACTTAAGTCATGTGAGAAGACTAACAACTCTAAAACATTGGTTTTTTTTTGTTTTTTTTTTTGTTTTTGTTTTTTTTTATGTTGCATTCGAAAGGTTTGACATATTAAAATGTTATGTAGGTGTTTGTTTAATTTAATTTCAGATTTGGCTTCAACAGGAAGCTACCCACCTCTCTGCAATATTAAAGTCGTTTGAAGTTTAACTGGACACGATTCTGCCGCTGACTGGACTCATTCAAGTAATGGGGAGACGAAAGATCGAGAACTTACATCAAGTTTTATAACCGACAGAATACCATCAAGAGAAACTGAAAGGGATAGAGTAACATCACAAATGTAATAATATTAATAAAAAATAAATGCTAATGCCTTTTTTTACGTCATTGATTGTGTGGTGTAGTTGATACGCTTGGCTAGTTTGTTGTGTTATCGATATGCTTAGGTAGTTTGTTGTGTAGTCGATACGCTTGGGTAGTTGTGTAGTCGATACGCTTGGCTAGTTGTGTAGTCGATACGCTTGGCTAGTTTGATTGTCATCGATATGCTTGGGTAGTTTGTTGAGCAGTCGATACGCTTGGTTAGTTGTGCAGTTGATACGCATGGGTAGTTGTGTAGTTGATACGCTTGGGTAGTTATGTAGTTGATACGCTTGGCTAGTTTATTGTATAGTTGATACGCTTGGTTAGTTTGTTATAAAGTTAAAAGGTCATTATTAAAACGGGGTGGGGGGGAGCAGTTATACTAGATAAATTAAACACGTTTTCTAAAATTCAAAACAATGATCTTGGCGGTCTGACAAGATTTCCACAGTAACTCGTTGGCCCAGCTCACAAATGGGTGTGGGGTGGTGAAGTGTTTGGTCTACTCTGTGTGGTGTATGTGTGGGGTGGGGTAATGAGGTGTTTGGTCTACTTTCTGTTTGTGGTGTATGTGTGGGGTGGGGTAATGAGGTGTTTGGTCTACTTTCTGTTTGTGGTGTATGTGTGGGGTGGGGTAATGAGGTGTTTGGTCTACTCCGTGTGTGGTGTATGTGTGGGGTGGTGTGGTGAAGTGTTTGGTCTACTCTGTGTGTGTGGTGTATGTGTGGGGTGGGGTAATGAGGTAATTGGTCTATTCCGTGAATGGTGTATGTGTGGGGTGGGGTGTGGTGTGGTGTGGTAATGAGGTGTTTGGTCTACTCCGTGTGTGGGGTATGTGTGGGGTGGTGTAGTGAGGTGCTTGGTCTACTCCGTGTGTGGTGTATGTGTGGGGTGGGGTGGTGAAGTGTTTGGTCTACTCTGTGTGGTGTATGTGTGGGGTGGGGTAATGAGGTGTTTGGTATACTCTGTGTGTGGTGTATGTGTGGGGTGGGGTGGTGAAGTGTTTGGTCTACTTTCTGTTTGTGGTGTATGTGTGGGGTGGGGTAATGAGGTGTTTGGTCTACTTTCTGTTTGTGGTGTATGTGTGGGGTGGGGTGGTGAGGTGTTTGGTCTACTTTCTGTTTGTGGTGTATGTGGGGTGTTGGGTGTGGTTATAAGAAGTGGTCTGTGTGATGTTAGATGAATGATTGTGTAGATCTTGAGGTAAGTGGGTGGCGTGTTGCTTGTGGGTTGGTGTGTGGCTATGATTGAGGTTCTTGGCGTTGTGTGGTTGGGTTGGGGTTATTTTTTAATCTTCCCCGTAATTCTTTCTATTATATCATTTTAGTGGAATTTTTTTTCACAAGGATTTCAAAAGCAAATGTGTTTTATGTTTAGTGCTATTCTTTTCTATCCTCCAAAAATAACATTGTAGATTTACACACTGTTGCGAAGCACTAGTATGCAGGTGGTATATGATATTGCAGCACTATTTAAATAACTAAAAAGAAAGCCTGGGTCGCTTATTGAATTGTAGTAAAGGTATAACAAACACACATAGCTCAATACACACACACACGCAAACACACACACACACACACACACACACATATATATATATATATATATATATATATATATATATATATATATATATATATATAATCTGTAAGCAGCGATCTATATGCGCTTGTAAATTTTAAAACATTTTTCAGTTCTTAATTAAGAAATTTTAAGCTTTTATTAATAATAATATAAATAATTACAATTATAATAATAAGTATAATGGTAATGTATTATATGATTTACAATTAGTATTTTTTCTTCTTTTTTTTGTTTATATTAATATATATCATCAGTCATTACAATTATATATATTCCATCATGTATTTTCACTATAGCTAAGGAACGATATACTCTATAACCCTCATCCTATTGTGAAAAACACTTGAGCTCAAATAACTTTGACGTCAGCAATTACGTCCAGCTAAAGCAACAATCTAATGCCAATCAGACCCGCCTTGTTTCTCACAAAAAAAAAACATCTTTTTTTCTTAACATCCGAGTAAAGTTAGCAGCAGAGAGCCATGGATGAGTCTCAGAACACATCGCCCATACGAAGGCCATGCAACACGCATACGTTTCGAGCTCCGTGCGACAACAAAGATGCGCCATGTAATGCGGACAAACCAGGAGGCACCAAAGACACACTGTCTATCGCTGAGCCAGCAAAGTTTGAGCCACAGCCAGAAGGTGAGCCAGCTAAGTTTGAGCCAACCACAGTAGCGGAGCCACAAGCTGTGTTGGAGCCACCTCCTCAGATTGAGCAGAATCCGGAAGAATGTACGGCTGCTGCTGACACCCCCATACCCGAAACAGTCAGCGTGAGTTTTTTTTTTTTTCTCTTAAAGTAGACTTAAAGTAGACTTAAAGTAGACTTAAAGTAGACTTAAAATAGACATAAAGTAGACTTAAAGTAGACTTAAAGTAGACTTAAAGTAGACTTAAAGTAGACTTAAACTAAACAAACTAGACTAACGTAGACTTAAAGTAGATTTAAAGTTACCGAATTAAAGTAGAATTAAAGTAGACTTAGATTCAAAGTTACCGAATTAAAGTAGAATTCAAGTAGACTTAGATTTAAAGTTACCGAATTAAAGTAGAATTCAAGTAGACTTAAAGCAGAATTAAAGTAGGCTTAAAGTAGACAAAGTAAAATTAAAGGCTGTTCTAACATCAGGTGCATTAACCTCTAGCCCTCGTAACCGATATGTTACCCAATACCCTAACCCTGTTGTCCAACTGTTACAATTAGCCGATAGCTACTAACACAAAATTTTACCCTTTTTCCCATTCTCCCGAAATAACCGTGTTTCTCATACTGTTAGTCCATGTCTGATATTCTCTAACATCATGTCTTTCATGTCCCATACTTGTGGGTAGCTCGAATCCGGGTTCAAGTCAGTATAACGTCCCTGAGTCCACCCAGCGCAAATGGGTACCTAACTCATGTTAGGAAAGTAAAGATGGCTGGGCATAGTGCTGACCACACTATCTCTTCATATGCCGAGGTCAAGAAACATATGAACTCTACTTCATTTGCCCAATTGATCGCTAGGTCTAGAGAGGATAGTCAAACACATAGATCTAGTTAAAATATGTTTGACTATACTAACTCTTTCAGTAAGAGTTGACGAATCCTTGAGAAGACCTTAACGTTTCCAAGATTTACACTTCAAATGTCATTGATCCCATGTTGTAGCGTTGCTAGATCTATATTAAATTACTTTAGAATCAATATGTATAATAAGACAAGATCCAATGCTGGACAACATTAGCCGGACTACTAGAACCAACGCTGGACAACATTAGCTGGACTACTAGAACCGACGGACAACATTAGCCGGACTACTAGAACCAATAGACAACACTAGCCGGACTGCTAGAATTAACGGACAACATTAGCCGGACTACTAGAACCAACGGACAACATTAGCCGGACTACTAGAACCAATAGACAACACTAGCCGGACTACTAGAACCAACGGACAACATTAGCCGGACTACTAGAACCAACGGACAACATTAGCCGGACTACTAGAACCAATAGACAACACTAGCCGGACTACTAGAACCAACGGACAACACTAGCCGGAATACTAGAACCAACGGACAACATTAGCCGGACTACTAGAACCAACGGACAACATTAGCCGGACTACTAGAACCGACGGACAACATTAGCCGGACTACTAGAACCAACGCTGGACAACATTAGCCGGACTACTAAAGTCAACGGACAACATTAGCCAGACTACTAGAACCAACGGACAACATTAACCGGACTACTAGAACCAACGGACAACATTAGCCGGACTACTAGAACCAACGGAAAACATTAGCCGGACTACTAGAACCATGCTGGACAACATTAGCCGGACTACTAGAACCATGCTGGACAACATTAGCCGGACTACTAGAACCAACGGACAACATTAGCCGGACTACTAGAACTAACGGACAACATTAGCCGGACTACTAGAACCAACGGACAACATTAGCCGGACTACTAGAACCAACGGACAACATTAGCCGGACTACTAGAACCAATGCTGGACAACATTAGCCGGACTACTAAAGTCAACGGACAACATTAGCCGGACTACTAGAAGCAAAGGACAACAGTAGCCGGACTACTAGAACCAACGGACAACATTAGCCTCACTAATAGAACCAAAGGACAACATTAGCCGGACTACTAGAACCAACGGAAAACATAAGCCGGACTACTAGAACCAAAGGACAACATTAGCCGGACTACTAGAACCAACGGACAACATTAGCCGGACTACTAGAACCAACGGACAACATTAGCCGGACTACTAGAACCAAAGGACAACATTAGCCTCACTAATAGAACCAAAGGGCAACATTAGCCGGACTACTAGAACCGACGGACAACATTAGCCGGACTACTAGAACCAACGGACAACATTAGCCGGACTACTAGAACCAACGCTGGACAACATTAGCCGGACTACTAGAACCAACGCTGGACAACATTAGCCGGACTACTAGAACCAACGCTGGACAACATTAGCCGGACTACTAGAACCAACGCTGGACAACATTAGCCGGACTACTAGAACCAACGCTGGACAACATTAGCCGGACTACTAGAACCAACGCTGGACAACATTAGCCGGACTACTAGAACCAACGGACAACATTAGCCGGACTACTAGAACCAACGGACATTAGCCGGACTACTAGAACCAACAGACAACATTAGCCGGACTACTAGAACCAACGGACATTAGCCGGACTACTAGAACCAACGGACAACATTAGCCGGACTACTAGAACCATGCTGGACAACATTAGCCGGACTACTAGAACCAACAGACAACATTAGTCGGACTACTAGAACCAACGGACAACATTAGCCGGACTACTAGAACCAATAGACAACACTAGCCGGACTACTAGAACCAACGGACAACATTAGCCGGACTACTAGAACCAACGGACAACATTAGCCGGACTACTAGAACCAATAGACAACACTAGCCGGACTACTAGAACCAACGGACAACACTAGCCGGACTACTAGAACCAACGGACAACATTAGCCGGACTACTAGAACCAACGGACAACATTAGCCGGACTACTAGAACCGACGGACAACATTAGCCGGACTACTAGAACCAACGCTGGACAACATTAGCCGGACTACTAAAGTCAACGGACAACATTAGCCAGACTACTAGAACCAACGGACAACATTAACCGGACTACTAGAACCAACGGACAACATTAGCCGGACTACTAGAACCAACGGAAAACATTAGCCGGACTACTAGAACCATGCTGGACAACATTAGCCGGACTACTAGAACCATGCTGGACAACATTAGCCGGACTACTAGAACCAACGGACAACATTAGCCGGACTACTAGAACTAACGGACAACATTAGCCGGACTACTAGAACCAACGGACAACATTAGCCGGACTACTAGAACCAACGGACAACATTAGCCGGACTACTAGAACCAATGCTGGACAACATTAGCCGGACTACTAAAGTCAACGGACAACATTAGCCGGACTACTAGAAGCAAAGGACAACATTAGCCGGACTACTAGAACCATGCTGGACAACATTAGCCGGACTACTAGAACCAACAGACAACATTAGCCGGACTACTAAAGTCAACGGACAACATTAGCCGGACTACTAGAAGCAAAGGACAACAGTAGCCGGACTACTAGAACCAACGGACAACATTAGCCTCACTAATAGAACCAAAGGACAACATTAGCCGGACTACTAGAACCAACGGAAAACATAAGCCGGACTACTAGAACCAAAGGACAACATTAGCCGGACTACTAGAACCAACGGACAACATTAGCCGGACTACTAGAACCAACGGACAACATTAGCCGGACTACTAGAACCAAAGGACAACATTAGCCTCACTAATAGAACCAAAGGGCAACATTAGCCGGACTACTAGAACCGACGGACAACATTAGCCGGACTACTAGAACCAACGGACAACATTAGCCGGACTACTAGAACCAACGCTGGACAACATTAGCCGGACTACTAGAACCAACGCTGGACAACATTAGCCGGACTACTAGAACCAACGCTGGACAACATTAGCCGGACTACTAGAACCAACGCTGGACAACATTAGCCGGACTACTAGAACCAACGCTGGACAACATTAGCAGGACTACTAGAACCAACGCTGGACAACATTAGCCGGACTACTAGAACCAACGGACAACATTAGCCGGACTACTAGAACCAACGGACATTAGCCGGACTACTAGAACCAACAGACAACATTAGCCGGACTACTAGAACCAACGGACATTAGCCGGACTACTAGAACCAACGGACAACATTAGCCGGACTACTAGAACCATGCTGGACAACATTAGCCGGACTACTAGAACCAACAGACAACATTAGTCGGACTACTAGAACCATGCTTGACAACATTAGCCGGACTACTAGAACCAACGGACAACATTAGCCGGACTACTAGAACCAACGGACAACATTAGCCGGACTACTAGAACCAACGGACAACATTAGCCGGACTACTAGAACCAACGGACAACATTAGCCGGACTACTAGAACCAACGGACAACATTAGCCGGACTACTAGAACCAACGGACAACATTAGCCGGACTACTAGAACCAACGGACAACATTAGCCGGACTACTAGAACCAACGGACAACATTAGCCGGACTACTAGAACCAACGGACAACATTAGCCGGACTACTAGAACCAACGGACAACATTAGCCGGACTACTAGAACCAACGCTGGACAACATTAGCCGGACTACTAGAACCGACGCTGGACAACATTAGCCGGACTACTCGAACCAACGGACAACATTAGCCGGACTACTAAAGTCAACGGACAACATTAGCCGGACTACTAGAACCAACGGACAACATTAGCCGGACTACTAGAACCAACGGACAACATTAGCCGGACTACTAGAACCAACGGACGACATTAGCCGGACTACTAGAACCAACGGACAGCATTAGCCGGACTACTAGAACCAACTGACAACATTAGCCGGACTACTAGAACCAACGGACAACATTAGCCGGACTACTAGAACCAACGGACAACATTAACCGGACTACTAGAACCAACGGACAACATTAGCCGGACTACTAGAACCAACAAAGGTGATTGGATGTTATGGATGTTTTAGTATTTTCGTTAACTATACACATTTTTTAAGATGCTCAAACAATTGGGTTGTTGAAATTTGTTTACTGAAAGTTTACATAAACATGGCATAACTAGACCATTTGATTTTAAATAATTCTTTTTTTTATTTAAAAAAAAATTGTTTCCGCAAAGTCTTTAGAACAAATTACTATGAATTGGGGTTTTCTGAAGATCGGTCACAAAGTTCCACTAGATCTAGATCCAATCAATGTTGCCATAATGTCTCGCTTGATGAAAATAAATTGAAATGTATTCTTTATTTCAAAAATAATTTTCACTGGAAATTCAACCTTTATAACATTGATTCTTTAAAAAAGTTTCTAAATTATTTTCAGGCCTATGTTTTGTTTTATTTTGTTTTATTTTTTTTACGATCGCTTTGATGACAAAATAAAATAAAAAGTAAAACACGTTTTTTAATCCAGGCCAACAATAATGATCGAACCAAACTCGTCGTCCTCGCCCGCCTCTGTTAGCTAATACACCCATCACCATATCCACAAGCCTTATCCAGTGTTTCAGCATACACCCATTACCATATCCACAAGCCTTATCCAGTGTTTCATCATACACCCATCACCATATCCACAAGCCTTATCCAGTGTTTCAGCATACACCCATCACCATATCCACAAGCCTTATCCAGTGTTTCATCATACACCCATCACCATATCCACAAGCCTTATCCAGTTTTTCAGCATACACCATCAGTTTATCCACAAGCCTTATCCAGTGTTTCAGCATACACCCATCACCATATCCACAAGCCTTATCCAGTTTTTCAATATACACCATCAGTTTATCCACAAGCTTTATCCAGTGTATTAATTAATCTCTAATGATTGTTTGGATGACTATCTGAGGAACCATATTAAAAGATGAAACGTAACCTTCAGGACCAGTTTGCAGACTTACCATATATCCAATAGAATAGATAAAACAATGTAACAGTGTATGATAACAAAAGCTTTAATTTCAGGACCAGGTTGCAGGCTTACCATATATCCAATAGAATAGATAAAACAATGTAACAGTGTATGATAACAAAACTTTTAATTTCAGGACCAGGTTGCAGACATACCATATATCCAACAGAATAGATAAAACAATGTAACAGTGTAGGATAACAAAAGCTTTAATTTCAGGACCAGGTTGCGATTGTTGAGTGAGGCGGGTTGACGGTAGAAGGATAATGGACGTTTATTTCACTGCTGGAACTGTACCGATATATGTGCTTACATGAGAAGGATGAACATCAAGAGAAGGATAAACATAAAGAGAAAGATAAACATCACGAGAAGGATAAACATCAAGAGAAGCTTAATAAGAGGCTGCTAACATTACAAATGTAAAAATATTAAAATAAATAAATGCTTTTGGTTTTCACGTGCATTTTTAGTTTAGTGTAGTTTTTGTGCTGTGTGATGTATGGCTAGAAATTGGGTGTCTCGCTAGTTTGTTTATCTATGTCTAGTCTGTTGTCTGATGTATGCCTTGTCTGTAGTCTGATGTCTGGCTAGTATGTTGATGTCTGGTTAGTCTGGTTAGTCTGTTGTGTGATGTCTGGCTAGTCAGTTTGATGTCTGGCTAGTCTATTGTGTGATGTCTGGCTAGTTTGTTGTCTGATGTCTGGCTAGTCTGTTGATGTCTGGCTAGTCTGTTGTGTGATGTCTGGCTAGTCTGTTGATGTCTGGCTAGTCTATTGTGTGATGTCTGGCTAGTCTGTTGTGTGATGTCTGGTTAGTCTGTTGTGTGATGTCTGGCTAGTCAGTTTGATGTCTGGCTAGTCTATTGTGTGATGTCTGGCTAGTTTGTTGTCTGATGTCTGGCTAGTCTGTTGATGTCTGGCTAGTCTGTTGTGTGATGTCTGGCTAGTCTGTTGATGTCTGGCTAGTCTGTTGTGTGATGTCTGGCTAGTCTGTTGATGTCTGGCTAGTCTGTTGTGTGATGTCTGGCTAGTTTGTTGTGTGATGTCTGGCTAGTTTGTTGTGTGATGTCTGGCTAGTCTGTTGTGTGATGTCTGGCTAGTCTGTTGATGTCTGGCTAGTCTGTTGTGTGATGTCTGGCTAGTTTGTTGTGTGATGTCTGGCTAGTTTGTTGTGTGATGTCTGGCTAGCTTGTTGTGTGATGTCTGGCTAGTCTATTGTGTGATGTCTGGCTAGTCTGTTGTGTGATGTCTGGTTAGTCTGTTGTGTGATGTCTGGCTAGTCTGTTGATGTATGGCTAGTTTGTTGATGTCTGGCTAGTCTGTTGTCTGATGTCTGGCTAGTCTGTTGATGTCTGGCTTGTCTGTTGATGTCTGGCTAGCTTGTTGTGTGATGTCTGGTTAGTTTGTTGTGTGATGTCTGGCTAGTCTGTTGTGTGATGTCTGGCTAGTTTGTTGTGTGATGTCTGGCTAGTTTGTTAATGTCTGGTTAGTCTGTTGTGTGATGTCTGGCTAGTCTGTTGATGTCTGTCTAGTCTGTTAATGTCTGGTTAGTCTGTTGTGTGATGTCTGGCTAGTTTGTTGTGTGATGTCTGGCTAGTCTGTTGTGTGATGTCTGGCTAGTCTATTGTGTGATGTCTGGCTAGTTTGTTGATGTCTGCCTAGTCTGTTGATGTCTGGCTAGTCTATTGTGTGATGTCTGGCTAGTCTGTTGTGTGATGTCTGGCTAGTCTGTTGTGTGATGTCTGGCTAGTCTGTTGTCTGATGTCTGGCTAGTCTGTTGATGCCTGGCTAGTCTGTTGTGTGATGTCTGGCTAGTCTGTTGTGTGATGTCTGGCTAGTCTATTAATGTCTGGTTAGTCTGTTGTCTGGCTAGTCTGTTGTCTGGCTAGTCTGTTGTGTGATGTCTGGCTAGTCTATTAATGTCTGGTTAGTCTGTTGTCTGGCTAGTCTGTTGTCTGGCTAGTCTGTTGTGTGATGTCTGGCTAGTCTATTAATGTCTGGTTAGTCTGTTGTCTGGCTAGTCTGTTGTCTGGCTAGTCTGTTGTGTGATGTCTGGCTAGTCTATTAATGTCTGGTTAGTCTGTTGTCTGGCTAGTCTGTTGTCTGGCTAGTCTGTTGTGTGATGTCTGGCTAGTCTGTTGTGTGATGTCTGGCTAGTCTGTTGATGTCTGTCTGTCTGTTGTGTGATGTCTGTCTAGCCTGTTGTGTGAAGTCTGGCTAGTCTGTTGATGTCTGGCTAGTCTGTTGTGTGAAGTCTGGCTAGTCTGTTGTATAATCTGATTACTCTGTTGTATTATTTGAACACTGGTTGCTGTATCTGTGTTGTATTTGTGTCAGCTGATCCATCTGGCAATATTCTATCTGGCTGTGTTGTGACACTGTGTAATGTTTGCAAGTAAAATGTATCAACCCCACAATCCCCTATGCCCTCGTGTGATGTTAGGTTCCTTCTAAGTACGGGGGGTCGGGATAAACCAACTCTGTCAGTCGATGGTATCTGCTATAGTTGCTGCTGTAACTTGCAGATCGCTTCCAACAAAAGTTGTAACTTGCAGCGTGCTTCCAACAAAAGTTGTACATAACCAGGTGCTGCTGCCATCACCCCCCCCAACCACCACAAACCAACCCCCGCACACAGCTTACTTATGTGTAGACATTTTTTTATCAACGGTGCTAGTGGTAAAGGTTTTTTAGCATCAGACCAAATGCAAGGTAAAAGGCTAGAATTGAGGCTAACATAGAAATTTGATTTTTTTTAAAATTTCCGCGATTTATTTAGCTACTTAAAATGTCTAGTGATATTTCAATTTTTGTAAGACTTTTTCATGCAGAACAAAATTTTTAATGTCTTATTTCTTGTCTGTTAAAACCTACAAATTCCTAGTTTTTAATATTTGTATGAAATCTAGACAACAATATCACCAAGATCAGAGACAACAGCAACAATTTAACGGACAACTGCATGCGCTAAAAGTTTCAGTGTGTTGGCGCCATTTTGGATTTGACCTCTTGAAGACAACATTTGAAGACATTTGAAGACAACATATTAGGACAACATTTCCGCACAAAGTACACACATTAGAATGAGCCCAACATTAAACAAACAGACTTATCAAATGACAAAACACCATAAGTGTTATATATATAGTTTTTTTATTTTTTTGTTACAATTCTGACTTCAGCTGCTTTCATCTCAAATTATCTTGCTTCAGTTTGGTTACTTCTTGATGTTCCCCATTACAGTTCCTCTTGATGTTCCCCGTTACAGTTCCTCTTGATGTTCCCCGTTACAGTTCCTCTTGATGTTCCCCGTTACAGTTCCTGTTGATGTTCCCCGTTTCAGTTCCTCTTGATGTTCCCCATGTCAGTTCATCTGGATGTTCCCCATCACGTTTTAGCTAGATATTCCACATTTGTAAACACGGCTTTAAGCTGGTTCTGAAATGTAACAAATACGTTAAGATCCTATTTATATAGTGGAAATCACATGGACTGTTAGGAGACAGAGACAAGACACACAGCATTTCTTGGCCGAAATACGCAAGCAAACAGACATTAAATACACCATCAGACATTACACAATCAGGCATTGCAACCAGGGGCGTAGCGAGGGGGGGGGGGGGGCGGGGGGTGCGAACCGCACCGGGTGACACCATTTAGGGGGGGGGGTGACACCAAGGCAAAAAATAGCAGCAAAATATATAGAGAAAATTCGAGGGGGGGTGCAAATCGAAAGTTTGAAGGGGGGTGCAAATCGAAAATTTGAAAGTTTGTCCCTGGGAAGGGTCTCTATGCCTCTGGGGGGGGGGGGTGACACCATTAAGTGCCGCACCTGGTGACACCCGACCTCGCTACGCCACTGATTGCAACATCAGGCATTGCATACACGATCAGACATTACATACATCATTAGACATTAAATACATCAGACCTTGCATACATCATTAGACATTACATACATCAGACATTACATACATTATCAGACATTAGACTACATACACCATCAAACTTTCCATTTCCAACAGTCATTATATACTACATCATTAATTACATACACTATCAGACATTACATATACCAAAAGTCATTACATACATTATCATTCATTACATACACCAACAGTCATTACATACACCAACATACATTACAATCATACCATCACAGACATTACATACACCATCATACATTACAATCATACCATCACAGACATACAATACACCATCATACATTACAATCATACCATCACAGACATACAATACACCATCATACATTACAATCATACCATCACAGACATTACATACACCATCATACATTACAATCATACCATCACAGACATTACATACACCATCATACATTACAATCATACCATCACAGACATACAATACACCATCATACATTACAATCATACCATCACAGACATACAATACACCATCATACATTACAATCATACCATCACAGACATACAATACACCATCAGACATTACAATCATACCATCACAGACAATACAATACACGATCAAGCAATCGCAAGCTGTGTAGTTATTTTCCTTCTCCGGTTAGAAAGGAAATTACCTAGCCAACCTACCAAGAGAATGAGATAGATTGTACTGTAAGTAATGCAAGTATGAGATAAAAGACTTGAAAATATACAGCATCGAGACCTTATTAACAAGTGAGTTAAATATTGTTTACAAACACAGTGGAGACCCTACGATTTTAAATGCAGTTTTTTTTTTATTGAAAAGTCGAATCTGAAAAGAACTGTGTCAAATTGACATAGATATACCAAATGAAGGATTTGATACAACAGTCGAATCTGAAACAAAAACTATACCTAGATAAATAAAATGCAAATTTTGATAACAGTCGAATCTAAAACAAAAACTATACCTAGATAAATAAAATGCAGGGTTTGATAACAGTCGAATCTGAAACAAAAACTATACTTAGATAAATAAAATGCAGGTTTTGATAACAGTCGAATCTGAAACAAAAACTATACCTAGATAAATAAAATGCCGGTTTTGATAACAGTCGAACATAAAACAAACTACATCAAATAGGCCTAGATCTACAGTTATATTGTATTCATGAGATTGCTTTTCTTTGTAAGCGTATTTTTATTCCTGTATCGTTGAAAACTAAACAGGGTTAAGTTTAAGATTAGGGAAAGAAATAATGTTTGGTTAAGGTCAGGAATTCACTGATGTGTTTAGTTTGGGTAGCGATGTTGTTATGTCTTGATTAGACTCTTCAATCAACCCGCTCACATGAAACAAAAGGGGGAAAGTCATGTTCTCTGTTCTACATGATGGTTAACGACAGATGCAGTAGAGTTCATCTGGTTCTAGTAGTGTGGGGGTTGTGTGGTCATCACTAAGTCCCAATGGCCTTTACGATAGAGGGCTAGAGTGTCAGTCCTTCAAAGGCTGAGGCGATGTCTTGAAGTCCTACAGAGCAGCCA